TATATGTGTGTGTGTGTGTGTGTATTTTATCTTTTAATCGTGTATTAAAGTACGACGGGGAATAGAAATTTTCCAAATGACGTAAACTTATGCGAAATAAACCAATGATAAGTAAGCAACTACGTAAGTAAATACGTTATTTTATATATTTATATATAAAATATATATATATATATATATATTTATGATTTCTTTGGAAATGTTGAGATTCTAAAGAGAAATCTTTGAAGGTAATGGGAGCTCTTGTACAGAGCTCTTGTACGGAGCTCTTGTGTAACTTTTAATTAAATCCTTTTCTTAGGAGAAACGTGAACAGGTGTCGAGTTACCTATATTTCACCATAGCGATTATTAATTACTTCATTAATAATTGGCCAATAGTTTAGAGGCTAGGGATCCGAGACCGGGGGATTGGGATCGGGACCGCGGGAATAAGGGGAAAAGTTTTCAACTAATTTTCACGTTCTTCTTTTCCTCCCACCACCTCCCCCCCCAACCTTTCTTCTTCTTCTTTTTTCTTTTTTTTTCTTTTTTTTTTTTTTTTTCATTCTTTCTTTTTCCCCTTTTTCTTTCTCTTTTTCCTTCGCCCTGAACAATTTTTTTATACATTGTCAAATCATCGACGAAAAATAAGCGAACTTGAAATGGCCTTGACATTTTCTTTTTCCACCCAATGACATTTTAATTTTCACTTAAATTACATTTGCATTGACTTAAATAAGTATACGTTTATATACGTTTATACACGTAAGACTGCTATCAAAGTTGTATTTCTAATTTTTAACCTTTTGCACTTTGTTATGTCAAGCGTGGCTCAACATTCATTAATGACGCTTTTTATCATTGACACATTTCTTGGGTCGAAAATTTCTCGCGTAGAATGAATTTTATTTGTGAACAATATGTGTATTTATAGATAAAAAAAAAAAAAAAAAAAAAAAAAAAAAGAAAGGAAAAAAAAAAAATTTAACGCGTGCAAAGGATTAATTATTTTACTTCACGTCACGAAATTTTTCATTTTTCGTTCCATTTTTTCTTTTTTCTTTTTTTTTTTTTGCTTTTTTTTTTTTGTTTTTTCCTCTTTTTTCTCTTTTTTTTTTTTTTTCCTCTTTTTGTAAGTACAAGTTACACCGAATGTACGACATAAATGTACGAATAGGAGTGATAACGTAAAACTTTTGCATTATATAACTATTGCACGGGCACGAAAAATATTGTATCATAGAGAAATCAAACAATACTTTTAATTAAATCTATCCTTTTTTCTTCTATTTTTAATGCCAACGTCGATACCAAATAATCGATTGTATGAGACAGTGTTTCTCAATACTTTTACGTACTCCTACTGTACCTCCCTAATAATAAAATTATACTTATACATATTTATATATAAAAATTATAATAAAATAAAATATACAAAATTATATATATATATATATATTAAATTTTATAAATTGACAAACTGCATACAGATCGTCCCAAAAAAATATGAATGACATTTCAGGAGTATATCGAGGCGATCGAATTGAACGATTTCATTTTAACTTTTCTATCCTTTTATTTATTTATCTATTTATTTATTTATCAATGAATTTATTTATTTTTGATTAATTCGCATTGAGAATCACTGTAATGCAAGGTAATAATTTATTTTCTTTTTATCCTCGTTTAGCTCGCTCAAGTTTTTTTTTTTCTTTGTTTTTTTTCTCTTTTTTTTTTCTCCTTTTTTTTTTCTTAATTCTCCTTCTCAAGAATAGACGACAAAGAGAAGTTAAGAGGATATAATCCGATGGTAAAAAGGAAGATTTTATCTCGGAGAATGATACCGTTATTAGGCTTATCGTTCATTCATATCACTTGGAAAATCGTGGTCGATGGTCGATGGTGATGGTTTCGTCTGGTGGTTGGCAAACAAGATGCTCGCTTGCCAGCTGTTACCTTGCCAATAACAAATTCCAATGTTCTATTTGCAACAAGTAGAGAAAATGATTATAATCAAGTTTGTAAGGGTTGATACCTATCTACCAATGAGTGAGCTTGGAACGATGGCTATCAAACGATTCGAACAGAATCGAACGCATTTGACACTTTTTGGAAGAACGCCAACGAGCTATGAAATTAAACGGTTCGTTTGTTTTTGTTTGTCTATTTGTTTTCATCACGCTTAAGGCAAAATCACGTGATAAATATATATATGTGTGTATATATATATATATATACAATACATATATGAAAGTCCTATTTGAAACAGATTTGTAATGGATTTGTCGGAAAAAAAAGTAAAAAAAAAAAAAAAAAAAAAAAAAAAAAAAAAAAAAAAAAAAAAAAAAAAAAAAAATGAAGAAAAAAAAAAATAAAAACGACTCCGTTCAATTTATTTTATATTTTTGTTTCTAAATGTATATGACGTATATTATGAGCTATTGAATTTTTCTGGTTGCAACAAGAGTATCTGGTAAAAAGAGAAAAAAAAAAGGAAATAAACGAAATAAAAAGAAAAAAAGAAATACTACAGAGCGTTTTTTATTCTAATATGAAATATTGGATAATCTATTGACAAAATTTGTACCATATAATTTGTACTTTATATATATGTAATATATATGTATGTATGTATATTGGTATGATTGTATAAGTTATACTATAGTTATATTCGACATAAATATAATTAATATAGTTACAATTAATACATTGCATTAAACCAATGAGTAATGTCGAAAAATGTTCGATAGATATTTTTTTTTATATATATATATATATATTTAAATGATTTTATTTCATTTTTTACTTTAATTCTCAATAATCGAATAGTCAATAAGCATGAAGACTTTAGAGATAAAATAAGAATTAATTTACTATAGACGGATACATACGAATTATATAGGGAATTTATTTATTTATTTTTTTTTTTTTTACCTTGTGCTTCATACGTAGGAGAATAAAATATTATATTTCTTGTCTCGGAAAAATATATCTGAAAAAACAAAAAGTAAAAAAAAAAAAAAAAAAGTAAAACAGAAGAGAAGATAAAAAATCTTTCGTAATCCGAATTACATTTGTTATAATAATTAAATAAACATAAGTACATACATATATATATATACTTAGATATATATATATATATATATGTAATTAAAATCGCACGAAATGTCCTCGATTCGACTCTTTGAATAATGAACGAAACTTCTCTAATAGAACTTTGCAAAGTTCTTTTAGTAATAAATTAATAAAGGATAGAGAAAATAAAATTAGATATTATTTTTACTTGACGTATATATGTACGTAAGTATACAGTATATGTATGTTAATACATAGATAGATATATTTATATAAATATATGGTACGTAAAGATACGTACACGTATTTAAATACGTTTAAATACGTATAAAAGAAGAAAAATATTAATCGGTATATTAAATTTCTATCGGTTCTTCTGGTTTGTTTTTTCTCTCTCTTTCTTCTTCTTCCTTCTTCTTCTTCTTTCTTCTTCTTCGAACTAACTTCGAACTAAGAGTTGCGAAATTCTAAAACAACGAACGTTCTAGGAAACTCGAAATTCGATGTTTCCTAAGAAGAAATGGTGCGGCAAATGAACCGCCGAAAATCCAAATCGAATTATTTCAATGAAGTGACCATTTCGTAAAATTATTTTAATAATAAAAAATTTAACGAGCATAAATTACGAGAAATTATTATTTCCAACAGGTTTGAGGGGGGTGGGGGAGAGAGAGGGGGGACGAGGGGAAGAAAGAGAAAAAGAATCAAAAAAGAAAAAAAAAACGTTGAAAAATAACGTACGTACGAGTACGACGATTGAAATTTTGGCATCTTAACTTGTATTTATTACTATAGATCGGTAGGATTTAAATTTTATAAATCTTACATCTAACACTTGCGCGCTCACGTTTATCATTGCCAAAATATTCTACGTATTATAATGCAAATGATAGTAATAATAATGTTCATAATGATGATGATAATAATGATAATAAATTTTTATGATATTTCCTTTTATATACGATACGATATTCTTAAGAAAACGAAGTTACCTAATTCGCGATAATTCGCAATAAATACTTGCGACAAAATGGCGCGTGCACGATGAGTTTAACTGAAAACCAGTTTAGTTGTTCTTCTTCTTCTTCTTGTTCTTCCTCTTCTTCTTCTTCTTCTTCTTCTTCTTCTTCTTCTTCTTCTTCTTCTTACTAGGTCGTAATTTCCTTCTCATTAAACGTTTCTAAAACGCGTCGAGGACCCGTTTGCGACGTCGCATAAATACCGACTCTTGAGCGCAAATGAAAACGGGTCCTTAAGATGAAAGTTTTCGCATTAGCGAATACGTTCGTTCAATAACGAGAAAGAACAAATACGCAACGAAACAATCCTTTAAGCTTCTTTTTTCGTTTATCTCCTTTTTTTTTCCTTCCCCACCCGCCCCCCCATTTCTTTTTTTTTCTTGCTTCTCTTTTTGCCTTTTCTTTTCGTTTTGTTTTTATACTCGTTCGTTTTGTTTCACCATAGAGGGATTGGATCGACTTTAAATTCAACGCCGAGGACGATGAGGACGAAAAGAAAAGAGAAAAAGAAAAAAAAACAAAAAAAAAAAAACAAAAAAAAATCTCAAATCTACATCGTTCGTGAGTCAGAAAGAGAGAGAAAAAGAGAGAGAGAGAGAGAGAGAGAGAGAGAGAGAGAGAGAGAGAATGTGTGTTCCACATAAGCTTCTAAAAATATTTTTTACGATCTACACGCATTTTGTGTCGTACACGGACACACACACACACACACACATATACACCCCCCCCCAGGGACATACACATCCTTCGTGAATGAAGAAACGTAATATAACATGGACGGAATTAGTGTAGAGGATTGGTATTATTTTGGAAAGGGGAAAAAAATAAAAAATGAAAAAAAGAAAAAAAAACAGAAAAAAGAAAAGAAGGAAAAAATCGATCGAAAAAGAAAAAGGATAGAAAGAAAAGACAAGGAGAAACTTACCCTGAGCAGGATCTCTCTTTCTACGCCTGTGCTTCCTCCTTCGTACTTCTTCGACATAATTCGAGGATGAAGAATCGTCGTATCCAATGACGTCGCGTTTCTCAGCTATCTTACGTGCCTCCTCTTGACGTTTCTTCAAAAGTTCGTAAACGCGTTTGAAATAATCCCTGGCTATGTCCTCGTTCGATTTATTAATCAATGGCAACGTTTCGGTTTTATCCTGACGACGTGATTCATTATCATCGATCAAATTCGAATCGTCATCTTCCTTAAAGCTATCCTCGTGTTCCTCGCTACCGTCTATTATTTTAAACGTTGCACTCTTTTTAACGTTCGAACGTGCATACAATTCCCGATAATCTTTGAACGCGGCCTTGTGTATCGAATTGTATCCAAAATCGGGCGAGACGATAATGGACGACGATTGGGAATTAGGATCAATTGATTTTTCAATGGTAATACGATCAATAACATTATTATTATCGAAGGGACATATAATATCGTTGTTAATAGTTGATCCTAAAGAATTACGAAGATTTTGGCATACTTTACAATTTCTCGTAACGCATAATTCCCTTTTAATGTCCTTCGTTGTTCTTATCTTATTCCACATAAAATTATCCTCTTTTTCTTCATTCTTCTTCATCTTCACCTCTTCCACTTCTTCCTCATTCTTCTCCTTCAAATCCCTCTCTCTTTGAAGTTTCTCAAGTTTCTTTCTTTCCTTATAATCCTTCCAGGATCTTTCGATCCTATCCAATTCCTTCTCGGTGTTAGGATTATCAAAATGAAGATCGCTTTTCGTTTTACGATATGTTCTCCTTTTATCCGTAGATTCTCTCCTAGTGGATTTATATTTTCTTTGTTGTTCGATGAATTCATTAGATCTTCTTACGAGCAAGGCGTCGCTCTTCGATCGACGATAATTATTTTTCTTAACGTACGAAGATGATACAGAACGTACGTTGCGTCCATTTTTCTTTTCACTATCGTTAAATCCAAAAGATCCTCGTAAATTCATATCCTTCTCATTATTATCATCGTCATCATCGTCATGATCATCATCATCATCATCATCATCATCATCATCATTATTATCCTCCTGATTCTCCTTTTCGAATCTCATCCTTCTTCCTGACGAATTAATTACGTTCGTTTCGCTTCTTACCTTTCTCGTACGATAATGCGTTCCGATATTATTAGAATCGACGACGTTCTTACGATCGAAATATAATTTTTTAATCGTCAAATTATTATCCACATTTTTATTAGATTCCATTCTTTCACGCAATTTCTCAGTTAGAAAACTACGAATTTTAACGAGCTTATCAGAATCAACATAATCTTTGTTAAACGATTCAACGACATTATCGTCATTCGTGTTATATAGATAAAATTTCGATTTATTATTCTCATCGGATCCATGATCCTCTTCCGATTCGATCTTATCTAATTTATCATTGGACCGTACGAATGCATTCGAATAATCGCGATTAATTTTACGATTAGACGAATGAACAATATCGCTTTGACCTTTCAAATAAGCCTTGACCTTTCTACAACGTTCCTTGGCAATCTCATCGGGGCTTTTGTCAAACATATTCTTCGTTCTTAAATCGTCTAAAATCTGTCGGCGTAGAAAATCACCGGTCGAATATCTCTTAACGATCTCTTTGTCGTTCTCTTTGTTTTTAATTTTTTTATCGCGAATGACCTTGATACTGGCGTCGCTCCTGGATTTTCTCGGTTTGTAACCAAACTCAAATGGTCCAAATTTGTTACTGAAACCGTCGACATTACGATTACCGCTCGATTGCATTGGTTCACGTTTGGAATTAACCGACGTGGATCTCGATATTTTAGGAGACAAAGGAAATTTTTCGTAATTAATCAAACCTTCGCGAAAAGAGCCTCTAGCCCTTTGAGCAGTTTTACCTGTTGTCTCGACCAATAAACGACCGTCCTTATCCAACAATTGTATAACCGGAAGGGTGTCGTCGGCCGTAGTCGTAAGTTCCCAATACCAATGCAATGGCTTGTCGAGTTTGAGTCTTATTATTGGTGACGTTTGATCATCGATCTCGTCCTTTGATATATCCCGACTTATTGAAGAATCGACCGAATCGACCGAATCGACCGGATTGGACGAGGCTGCCGTTACGACTGGATAAGCGTTCTTCATGGTTCCAGTTTTCCAGATGTGCGATAATAACGGTTGAAACGATATATATATATATATATATACACTTATGTATCTCTTTCTGGATCAATGCCCTCGAAAGGGGCAGGCAAAAGAAGCTTCCAATTTGAAATTGGAAAAGGACCCTTTAAAGGTATCATCCACACTGGATTTTAACCCAATGGATTTCAATACGAGTGTTTCATATATTACATACATACATTACATATATATATATATATATATATATATATATATGAACATATGTATGTACGAATTGAAAACGGGCTACTACATGGTTTCTCTTACGTAAAACGTTCAGTTTCAATGCTTTTTGGCAACTAGTCAGATACACTTTTTCACCGTCCAATCATACGTATTAATCTACGACATAATTATTACGAGGACGTAAAACGATCGTAAAAAAGTAATCGATCCGATCCGATCGTTAATAATATCGTATAGTATCTATTTCTCCCTTTTTTTTTTTTTTTTCTTTATTTCTCTTCGTTTTATTTCGAGAACCAAGAATCTCTCGTTTCTTTACTACGAAACGAGGTTAGGTATACAAAGTTGAAAGCAAGCTTGAATCTCCTTTGGGAATAACTTCCCGTGAAAAGCAGCTATCTCTTCTTTCTTTCTTTCTTTTTTTCCTTCTCTCTCTCTCTCTCTCTCTCTCTCTCTCTCTCTCTCTCTCTTTCTTTTTCTTGCTCTATCTGTCTCACTGTCTATATTTCTTTTCTTTTCTTTCTTTCTTTCTTTCTTTGATTTTTGCGGATCGTAGATTCTCTCTTCCACTTGCACTATTTTCACGAAAGAACGACTACCTTCCGAACTTTCTTTACCACCTTTATCTCTTTTACTACTACTTCTTCTTTTGAACCAAGATGGCGGACATTATTCGTAAGAGACCGCGAAATTTTAGCATTCGTAAAACTTCTTACTGTATATATGTATGAACGTACATAAACATACATACATACATATATATATATATATATATATATATATATATGTATATATGTAAACGTATATATTTAGATATACACGTAATATATTTCGGAGTTTCTTTTTATGTGATAGGTAGGGACAGGAAGGGGAAGGAGGTTAGGAACGAAGATGAGAAGGAGAAGAAGGAGGAAGAGGAGGAGGAGGAGGAGGAGGAGGAGGAGGAGAGGGGTGGTTTTGATGATGGCGGTAAAGAGAATCCCGACTGTTCGACCGTTTCGCGGATTATTTCGTTCGATTGAAAACGTCGTAGAATCCTTTAACACTCGCGTTCGATCGCGTCTCGACACCCCGTGCCAGCAAAGCCACTCGCGGATTCGCTACTGAAGACGAGCAACGAAGCTTCGTGTTCACTCACTCACTCACTCACTCGCTCTCTCTCTTTCTCATTCTCTCTCTCTCTCTCTCTTTCTATCTCTCTCTCTCTCTTTTTCTGTCGTCATACCAATCTTAAAATAAATCCTACGGGATCTATCGGGTAGGGGTGCAGGAATGTCGGCATGTGGGATGTGTCACGAATATATCGTTCCCTCTTCCCTTTCGTCTTTACTCTTTCCACTCTTCTGTTATCTTTCGTAATTCGCTCTCTTTCTCTCTCTCTCTCTCTCTCTTTCTCACTCTTTTTCTTTAATACCACTGATCGCATACGCGCATGCGCGTATTACTTGGAAAATAATTTATTAAAAGCGTACGTATCACGATCGATAATGAAGAATTCCTATTCGATCGATAACGAAGAGCTCGTATTTGGTCGATCGGTCAATCGGTCGGTCAATCGGTCGGTCAATCGGTCGGTCGGTCGTTCGTTCGTTCGAATCTTCCTCTTGCATTCTTAGAATCCTATTGGCTTTATTTCGACAAAGATCATTTTTAACCAACCAATAGCGAGCTACGATTGTTCGTCCACGTGACATCGACGCGATCTTATTACATATATTTGTCTTTTCTTGATACTAATCGATCCCAGTTTCTCTATTCTCTTTATTTTAAGTCATTCAATTTTTCAACAAGACGTTACAATCTCATTTCGGACGAAAGTGAACATATATATATATATATATATATATATATATATATATATATATATATATATATATATATATAGAGAGAGAGAGAGAGAGAGAGAGAGAAAGAAAGAAAAAAAAGAAGAAAAAATTAAATCATCTTCGATACATTCTTGGAAATAGGTTAAGGTGAGATTAATTGTTATATAGTTTTTTTTCTACTTTTCTTTCCTCTTTTCTACTAATACCATATATATATATACACAAATACTCAAAGTATATTGATTCTAAAATTAACTTTAAAATCTAATAATAATAATAATAATTTAGTATGATCATATATAGTATGATCATATATATTTGATCATTATTTTAATTGTTTTAAGATCTAATAAATGATTACCAGTAATAGTTCGACAAAACTTAAGAGTTCGTTTTAATTTTTAATTAAGTTTGTATTGAACGTTTACATTATATTCCCACAAGATACAAGTCACGTGATGTCTCGAAAGGTATATACATACAATATATATTTTGGAAACTTTTCAACTTTTCCTTGGTCTCTAGTTTTCCGCTTGGATGTTCTGTCGAAAGGAACTACAAGATCGTTAAGAAAGATTCGTCTTTAGGAAAGTTGTCTTGGTTCGACTTTTAAAGGAGACTTCAATTCCACGAACTATTTCGATAAACAGTACGTGCCACCGTATGCATCTGTTCCTTTCTTTCTTTCCATATATATATATATATATATATATTTCTTTGCACCGATCCACGTGCGCACACCTTTAACCATTCTCATCCTTCCTCAT